TGTCACACTCATGATAAAATTGGATAAAAAATTCATATCCCCATTCTGTTCGATACTTGCTCCTCTAAGTATTAGCAACTAAATAGCACGATCCAGCGAAACAAACGTTCACAATGGAATGTAACAAATCCTTGGGTAGAGCAGAGAAACTCAGCCGGACATAACAAGACGGAGCAAATAGCCTTATTACATAGAAATTATAAAAGAAACACACCTAATTGCAAGTTGCAACAGAGCACTATAGTATCAAGCCCTTTTGTACAAACCAGGAGAAGCCGTCGGACCCCTTCAAGATATCTGAAACAAGGTGAGGTGTGTTGATATGCTACTGCCGCAAGCCGTAACAGGTGATTCTGATTCCTGTCCATCGTCCATACCACTAGCCCTTTTCAAAATTGATACTTAACAGTTAACACTTACTAATTATAAAATTAGCTTCAACGTTTGGATTAAAATAGCAAGTCTTTTAAAAATATAAATTGATTCGTGTGCCTTGTTGAAAGTGATTGATTGATTGATTAATTGAATAAGTGTAATTAGACTAATTGAATGGCGGTTTTACTTTTGTCATTGCTTATATTTTAATAAAACTGAATTAGATTAATGGTATATTAGAAAAGAGTAATTAGATTAAATGTATATTTCAAATGTGCAATGGTGAATGTAATAAAACTGAACTTGCAATCTCTGGTACTGTGGTACGTATTTTTTATTCCATTAGAATTAAATGGAACTGAAATATGTATTCGGATGATTAGTGTGTTTTTTCACACAACACATTAGCTATGAAATCTTAAAGATAGACAACAGCTTATAGTCACATAGTCAATCATTTTATCCCTAATGTTTCAAGTGATAAAAAATCTTATGTTGGGATGACATTTAAAGAGTTGAGCGACATGCCGACATTATATATGCTAAGTTGGTTGGATTTAGTGTTCGCAAAAATTGTTTGAAGACAAACAAAGTCAGAGTAATACAAGTCTGGTGTAGACTTGTTACAAAGAGGGTCTGAAAGAAACTCAATGCAAGAGAATGAAACAGAAAGGTGTGGGCAAAACATCCGCATTGGATGTAAGGCAATGTTGGGTATTTCTAAAACTTGAAACAATGTGTTTTTTAAGGTGTATTGATTTGAAGACACACATAATCATTGCTGTGTTCGGGATGTCCTAGTACCCCACAATATCTCAATCCCTCAAGTCTGGGTGTATTTATTTCTCAATCTAATGGTATGGGCAATGTTGGGTTCCTTGAAACAACAAGCTTAAGACACTATTTTGGAGACGAGATAGAAAGTTAAGGGAACGCTCAATTATTTGTGGAGCACTTCATGCAAGAGAAAGAACATAACTCATCACTTTTCTACAAGGTTTGAAAAGACAATGCAAACACAATTGAATCGGCTTTTTAGTGATACAATCATATAATTGGTATTTAACGTACAATAAGTATATTTTAAAGTCATAAATATTGCAGAGCACTCTCCAAAATTATTCACACCATTTGTTGGAATTACTCATCAATTTCAGTTAATATTATTTGGTTGTGCGTTCGTGAACAAAGAAAATTTTGAGTCATTTTATTATGATTATGAAGATTGAGAAGATCCATGGCTCAAAGTTTGAAAAAAAACACACAATTATATTAATGAAACTGTAGCATCCTTCTATAGTTCTATGAAGATATCCAGATCTCTGGTTGGCGAATTTTTTTTATTTAATAATATTGTTGTTGATAAAAATATAGTTATTGATAAATATTTTATACTTTTTGCTTCTCCATTTACACTGAGTTAAAAAAGATCCAAACAAACCGTGTAAGGAATGATATTCAAATCCTAGACTCGCTAGCTAGGTAAGAGCTTCTGGATATTGAAGCGAATGCGCATAAGAACTCTCACCTACCCTATACTCTTACAGGCTTATACTACGTACGCTTATGTAGATCGATAGCTGGATTTCTTGTCTTGACACAAATTTCAAGGAAATTCATCTTGCCAATTTACTGATTTCATGTCACACATATAAGACTCACCTAGACAACAACAATAAAGTGATTATGTTAAATTGAATGTGCAGAAGTATTTTTGTGACCCTTTGCATCATCGCTTTAAACACTTCATTGTCCATCCATTCCCAACATCACCACCCCAACATTCTCTCACGCATGTCCACCTCTCCACAACCCCACCACCCATTCTCATCGGTCCATCCCTTGCATCACCGATCCTAACTTCTCTCACAACCTCCCTCTCTCTCACATCTTCTCCATGAATTTCCAGATGGCAATAGCGGTGATGGTGATTAGGCGTGGACCCGGTTCGGGCCGCCCGGCCCGGGACCGGCCCGGCCCGTCACTGTGCGGGCCCGGAACCGGCCCGGTTCTCGGGTCCGGGTCCGGTTCGGGCAGAGACCCGGTCGGGTTAGCGGGACCGGGCTCGGGTCCTGGTTTTGGAGGCCCGGCCCGGCCGGGTCGGGCCCGGGCCCGGGCCTAACGGTCCACTATTTAAAAAAAAAAAAATTTTTTTTTGGATTCTTTTGGCTCAAACGGCTACCCCAAACGGCTATATAGCCGTTGGGTGTACCAGGGGGGGTCAGGGGGGTTTGGGTGGGGGGTGGGGTGGGGGGTTGGGGTGGGGGGTGGGGGTTAAAAAAAAAAACCTATAAATACTCCTAATTTTAAACATTTTTTCACACCTCTTCTCCAACTCTTCTAAATCCTACTCTCTACTCATCTCCATTCTCCAATTCTCCATATTCATCTTCTCTAATTCTCTTATTCTCCTTTATATTTTATTTTACTATTTAATACTTATACAATTATTATATCTACTTATATATTAATTATCTACTTATATATATTATTATCTACATATACTATATTGCTTATATTTCTTATCTACTTAATTTCTACTTATATCTCTTAATACATACATACATACTATATCTACTTAATATATACTTTATATAATAAAGTATTAAATATACTTTATAAACTATTATTATATACTTAATACATAATAATATCTACTTCTCTACTTATATTTTATATATACTTATTTTCCAATCTCCAATTCTCCATTATACTCTAATATTTAATTCTTATACAATTATTATATCCACTTAATACATACATTCTACATCTACTTAATATATATTTATATATTAAAGTATAAAATATAAGTGTATTACTCATCGTATAGTATAGTATACTTATATATTATATAATATAAACATTATATTATATATTACTTACTATAACTAGTATTATACTAGTTAATTAGTTAATTAGCATTCTTGTTACATTTTTCATTATACTAGTTAATTAGTTCATTACCATTATTGTAACATTTTTCATTATACTAGTTAATTACTTAATTAGCATTCTTGTTACATTTTTCATTATACTAGTTAATTAGTTCAATACCATTCTTGTTACATTTTTCATTATACTAGTTAATTAGTTCAATACTTCAATACCATTCTTGTTACATTTTTCATTATACTAATTAAAATACTTCACATTTTATTTAACTAGTTGTTAGTTTGTTACATTTGTCACTATACTAGTTAACTACTTAATTAGCATTGTTGTTACATTTTTACTTGTACTAGTTATTTACTTCAAAAGTTGCTATAATTTTAATTGTAGAGACACACATTAATTCTACTTTGCAAAAAATTAGTTTGAAGTATTAATTAAAATAGTTTTAATTAGTTGCATTAGTTTTGTATCCATTATTATATTTGTTGTGAATTAATATTTGTTACATTTTTTAGATGGAAGGTGGTAGATATTCGGTTGATTTGGGTAACCTCCAACGCAATCGAAGAAACGAGATTGGAAGAAATCCCGCAAAGGTAAAGAACTTGCCGGGTCTTCATCTCAAAGTCGAGATGATTTTGAAACGGGTTACCAAAGGCGAGATGGAGATGCGATGTCCGAAGAACAACTCCAACAAGAATTGGCCCGATATAATAACCGCTTTCTACAACAACAACAAATGCCGACGACCATTGACGAAGAGGAGCTTGAGGATGAAGATGCGGAGGAATTGGAACCGGAGACGGCCGAGGAGGAGGGTGCCGGCAGCCACGACGCCGACGCGCCTGCCTCATCCCAAACCGCCACCGGTAATAAAAAAAGTAAGTCTGAACTAATGAAAAATAATTTTGATAAATGGAAGGACCCACAAACCGGCTATTGGCACGCAACTTGCAAGTGGTGCAACAACAATTATAGTTTGGGAACCTCCGGCGGATACGGATCCGCCGCAAGGCATCTTAAGGCAAAGCACCCCGTGGAGTATGCAAAATTAGGCGGCGGAACGGGGAAGCAAACTCAAATATCGAGGTTTGCGAATTCTCAACCTTTTGGTAATTTCTCCTACAATGATGCACAAAATTTGACTGGTATGGCTAACTTAATTTGTGAAGAAAATTTGCCTTATTTGTTTTCTGAAAGTCTTGCTTTAAGAGATTATGCACAAGGTAGTTTAAATCCTCAATTTAGAAATTATAGTCGCAAAACTGTTAAGAAAGAAATAATAAGGCTTTATAATGCGGAAAAGGAAAGGTTACAAAATTTTTTTGCAAACTTTGATGGGCGTGTTACTATTTGTTCTGACATATGGGAGGATGATTTTCATCATTTATATTATTTGGGTCTGACTGCACATTATATTGATGAGGATTGGAATATGCATAAACGTGTTCTTGCTTTTCGTGAATTTAATGATCGTCACACCGCTGAACATATTTATATTTTGATTGAGCGTATTTTAATTGAGTATAATTTGATTGATAAGGTGTTTGCTATTGGTTTCGATAATGCTACTAATAATACTGCTGCTATACCTAGATTGCGTGAGTTGTGTGGTGCCAATTCTTTGATGGGTAGATTTTTTCATCAACGGTGTGCATGTCATGTTATAAATTTATGTGTGCAAGACGGTTTAAAAGCGTTAGGAGATTCCATGGAGGTAATAGGGGGGGGGGGGGGGGGGGGTTAGACGTATTTGGGGTAATGGTCAACTTAGATTAAAATGGCAAAGTTATTTGACTGAAAGAGGTGTGAGATATGTTGCTTTTCCTAAAGATTTGAGTATTCGTTGGAATAGTACTTATAAATTACTTAAAGTTGTTCTTAGATATAAAGAACATTTTCCTGCTTTTTTAAAAGAACATGATAACTATATTATAAACGCGGCTGAGATCGACACTTGCGAAAAAAATTGTGATGTTTTGATATATTTTTTTAATGCTACTGAAACTTTTAGTCATGTTTATAAACCTACCGCAAACCAATTTATTCCACAAGCTGTTAATCTCGCCGATGCTTTTAAAGAATTTCAAAATGCCGTTTTCGTTCATTATTTTTGTGATTATATGAAGGAAAAGTTTTTAAAATATTATGCGCATATTCCCCATATTTATGGTATTGCATTTATTCTCGATCCTCGTTATAGACTTGCTAATTTGGAAAGTTGTTTCAACTTCTATTATCTTGCGTTTTTCGGTGAATTTCCAATGTATGAGGATAACCCCATAGATCCGAAAACGGAATACAACGAGGTTAGTACTTTATTTTATGCCTTATTTAATGAGTTTCGTTCACAATATGGCAACGCTCCCCCTCCCCCGCCACGAACATCTTCATCTAAAGGAAAATCGATTTTTAAATCTGCATTTGGCAATCTTATGAAAAAAACTAAAACAACTCACGTCACTGAACAAAGCGCATTGAATGAGATTACTTTGTATTTAACATATGAAGTTGATTTTGAAGAAAATGATGACTTCGACGTTCTAGACTGGTGGAAGTCAAAAGAAAGAACGTTCCCGATTTTAGCACGGATGGCTAAGCAAGTACTATCAATGCCGGTTTCAACAGTTGCTGTGGAACAAGAATTTAGTTCGGCCGGCAACGTCCTAACGGCATCTAGATCGAGATTGAGCGCGGAGTCTCTTGAGACGCTTATATGCTACCACGATTGGTTGAAGGCCGCACGTAGAACTCAAGAATTGAGCATCACCCCCTCCCAAGATTTTATGGATGACTCAACAACCGATGGTGGCTCTACCTATGCCGGAGATTCCGATTGATTAGTATTTTAGAATTTAGTACAAAATGTATTTTATAGCACTTGTCAAATTTATTTATACTTGTACTTCATATTTCAAAATTGTAAACTTGTACTTCATATTTCAAAATTGTAAATTTGTAGTTGTAGTTCAAATTAATTTGTAAACTTGTACTTCATATTTCAAATAAATATGTGTTCACTTTTTCATATGTAGCACTTCTCAAATTAATTAATTGGTTACAATCTAACGACTTAAAATTATTTTTCTAAAATATAAAGCCGGTTTTTAAATTAAAAATACATTTAGAATATGTAATTTGTTTAAATACTTATACACCTATTTTGTAACATTTGTTTTAGTTTTACTTAATTCATTAAATTAATTAATTTATTTTACAATATGTGTATAACTTAAAAAAAAAAAAAAAATTCAAAGCTCCCAAACGGCTATATAGCCGTTGGGGCTATGGGTGGGGGGCAGGGGGGTCCCGGGGGTGGTGGTGTGGGGAGTGGGGTTCAAAAACACCTATAAATACATCTATTTTCTAACATTTTTCTACACTTTTTCTCCAATTCTTCTCAAACTCTTCTCCATCTTTATCTTCTCTTATTATCCTACATTCCTACTTAATTACTTATAGTGTTATACATATACCATTTTAAATATGGAAAGTACATCTTCTCTTATGCAAAACAATTTTGACAAGTGGAAGGACCCGAAGACCGGACTGTGGTGGGCAACTTGCAGGTGGTGCAAGAAAGACTGTTGCTTGGGGCGTTCATACGGATACGGGATGCCAATAAAACATATGAAGTTCTGTGACAAAGGGAAAACAACAACCAACGGTGGCGGAAATCCTAATTGATATTCATTACAATTTACAAAATGTATTTCGTATTGTTATTTTTTTCTCAATTCTCAAATGTAGTTCTTATTTCAAATAAATGCACTTGAACTTTGTTTTTAATAGCAATTTGTATAATATATAATTAATATAAAAAAAAAAATTTATTGACCCGGCCCGGCCCGGCGGGTGGCCCGACCCGTGACCCGGGCGGGTGACCCGGCCCGAACCGGAACCGGTCATTGACCGGGCCGGTCCCGGGCCTACCCTTATAGGACCCGAGGCCCGACCGGGCCTTGACCCGGCCCGGGCCCGACCCGGCCCGGGTCCATGCCTAATGGTGATGATTCAAATAAAGATAATGATGGCTAAGGCGACAATCCTACTGGAGACGTGGTAGATCAACAAGCAACAACGACAGACCGATGAGTAATGAATGTTGTAGATTGACAATCGTCTTCAGTACCCTCTTCTATTCCAACAACGGGGATGTGTTATGGACGTGATGATGTGATGCACTGAAGAGGAATTCATTGGAATTGGATCCTCTACCGCACGGCAAAGTACCCGGAGGCAATCCAAGGGCAACAAGCAAAGGAACTGTATGAGATGTACGAAAATTGGATCCAAATGCTTTTAAAAACTAGCCATATTTGTATCCATAATTTTTCCTTTAGTATTATACTATTATTTACGCCAAAATCCTTTGGATATAATATAATAGAACATCCTTTGGACTTTGGATATTATAGAACTTAATGTTATAGGCTTAATATAGTCTCTGTGCATGTTTCGTCAAGGACCTCGAGCCTAATGAAGACAAGAGTGGCATCGCTACTTTGAGATGCTTTAGAATGCAGGAACCCCATCTGCCCAAAAACAATTTTGCAATAGATTTTTGTTTTTGTAATCCAATCAACATTTTGGTGTAATTTCCAAACTTGGTATCCATACTGATTTGAATATTAACACGGAAGATTTTACTTTATATTTAGCCAACCTTCAGCAAACTAATTGACATCTACTCGAATTTGGTAAGGACTAAGGAGGGAGGGAGGAGGTATTGAATTCTGATGTGTAGATAAACGTGCCAAAGATGTGTTGAACAGTAGGGCGTCAATAGATAAAGGCTCTTACACTAAAGAAAAAAGATAATCATTTTAACCATCACTGACTAATATTGTAGAGTACAGCTTTGAGTACGATGAATTTCACAACATAAAATTCAATACATCGAAGATGCTAATTCACGAACTTCAGACACAACCTGATCATAATCTTCTTTCAATTTCTCTTGATCTTCTTGATTCATATCTCCCTTGGTGGGCTTGGTCAAGACCAATACACAGCAAGTTGGCCTTTTAGTAGCTCCTGCATTTGCAAGATCCTGAAACAAAATTTGGTTTTTTGTTAATACCATCCTCAAGCAATCGCATTGACACACTGAAATTGGAATGTGGAAAATGGTATAAATAGGCATGTATGCAAAGAATATTAATCCTAATAGATCAGTGTCAGGTAAGATGGGGTAAAGTTAAGCTTACTTCTTTTGACTGAACATAAACATACGGGATCTCAGCTTCTTCGCATAAGATAGGAACATGGGTGATCACATCAATGGGAGATATGTTCCCCGCAATCACACAGAATCTGCAACCACAAACACATATTTTTTTTACAAAAGCTAGCAGTATACAGGAGATGGAATTCAACTGCAGGTTATTTATTCAGAAAATTCGCTCCTCTAATGAGCTAGAAGGTGAAAACAACGACGCTGACAATTTCGTGTTCCATATACTTACAAAAATCTATAGGATAATGAATTTGGCTAATAGAATGCCAAACAGCCTATGATCAATTAGGATGACTTCATTTATCCTATTGCAAATAAGCTGCTGTTATACGCAAGATATAGTAGGCACTAAAATAGCAGAGCGACTGATCTTTTGTAGGCAGCATATGAAGATTATTAGTCATGCATATTTGCAGATCTAGTTCCTGTTTGCATTATCTAGTTTATATGATATCTCTTGACCTCCCACTAATTGTCCTTTTAGATCTATGGAATTTCATTATTATTTCACTTATTCACCTGCTGGCTACTTCTCCTAGACTAATAGTGATTGTAATGTCTACTCTATCTAGAAAGGGGAGGTTATTCTCATTGATAAGAGAAGGAAGAGTTAAGAAGAAACCTAAGGAGAGAGAGACTTCCTAAAGCTCTACTTTTTTTATATTCCATTCATATGTATCAGTTTTCTACCCGCAAGAACCCATTTTAGTATTTTACCATTCTTTAAGAAACAAACCCTCACCAACAAGGAACCATGTTAGTCCATAAAGCAGTTGACCTAGCCCAAGGAACAACACACTATACTATAGAAGAGAAGAAATACAGATCAAGCATTTCTTTTATAATGTCTCTACAAGATTCCATAGAATTTATCCTATATCAACTTTAGCCTTTCCATTAGCGTCCACTAATGCTAATGTAACTTCATAGGCTAAAGTTGATAAAACACCAAAGATTATCATCCGAAAGATTTTTTACTAGTTTGTACTAAGACAAGTATAGTGAAATAGAGAGATGATCTTTATTTAACTACGAAAATGACAATAGTAGTAAGATCAATTTAGTACGAATAAGTAAATAATGACTGCACTGCAATTGATCAGCACATGATATTACTGACGAGGAAAACGAAACTGAATCAACAAAAGAAATGAGGTTGAGCAGACCCTTTGTGGCCTCGACGAATGCTTTTGACTACCTCCTTTACACCTCTCTTCAAGCACTTGTTCTCCGCAGCTGAAATCAAACGTCGGGCAATATGTTAGGAACAAATAAAAACTGCCCAAAAATAAAGTAAAATTCGCAGATAGAGAAATACCTCGACGGACGAGTTTGAAAGTGCGCTTGCTGAGCTTTTTACCGGCTAGAGGTTTTGCAATAGGAGCAAGAGCTAATAGCTTCTTCTTCTCCCTCTCTTTCTGGGCTGATTTCTCTGTTTCGCTATCGCTGCCCATCTTCTATCTTCTTCTCAGTATCTTCTGCAACTGAGCTAGGGTTTAAGTGGCGCCAAAGCTCGAGGAGATCGGAGTTATAGGGTTTAAGATGGGGAAGGAATTGACTAAAAGCTTACAAGGCCAGTTCGTTGCAAAGGTGTAGGCCTAACACTAAATGATTCAAGCGAGATGGTCTTGGCCCAGTTTTGCATTCGGGTGTCATTAGGCCTGCAAGCTAACAAATTCATGGAGACCCAGCCCATCATACGAGAAAAGAATCAAACCAAACCTATTTAGGTCATAACCCTATCCTACCCACTATTCAAAGGGACAAACTTGGGTTATGTATTTCAAACTCAACCGGGCCTGTTATACCCCACCCCAGCCCAACCCAATTGGCCCAATTATGCAGATAACTCTAGTACCGTAGTATGTATATACCACAAAAAATATGAATTTGGATCACCTGCCTCACGACACTCTGAGCTCGTTTGGTAGTACGAAAATCGGCTGATGTGGCTGATTTTGGTGAAATTTATGAAGTTTGGCTGAAGCGGCTGCATTGGCTGATTCTGTTGTTTTAAAAAAATTAATAAAATAAAGAAAAAATTATATGTAAAAATAGCTAAAATGATCATCTATAGTTACTTCAGTCAATACAGCCAGAAAAGTAACTTCAACCTTACTTTTCCTATTTATTACACAATTTACAATTCAACGCGTGAAATCAAAAGTTAAGTGTTTGGTGAAAAATGTGTCTGATAAACCTGATAAGTTAAAAAACTGTGTTGCCAAATGACCACTCTATCTGGGACAAGGAGGGAGGGAGGGACGTAATTTGCTGATGGCTTATAAAAGCCGGTCACCTACCTGGCTGCCAAATCCAGGCTAAGAAACCAGATCTGAAAATTATATGGAGCATATCTAGAATGCCTACAAGTTCTAATATTAGAATGAGATTGGCAAAACCGAAGTGCTAGACAATCCAATATTAGAATGATGTTTGTACTCACTTTTATACCCACTTTTGTACTCACCCATGTTTGTGAAGTTATTTTTTTTATCTGTGAAATCCTTCACAAACAAAATATGTCTGTGAAGGAATTCAAAAACATATTTTGTCTGTGAATCGGCTCCACAGACAAAAAAATAGCCTTAACAGAGGTGGGTATAAGGTGGGTATAAAGTGGTTGGTACAACAAGAATGGTTGATACCACGTTGGGTAACAAACGGATGAAGTTGAGTACTTCATGATGATTAAATGCTAATATTTGTAATGAACTTGAATATTTTGTTTACAAAATTTGAACATCTTACAATTTACTCCCTCTGTCCTTAAAAGAAGTTCCATTTCACTTATCGAAGGTCAACTTAAATCACTCTTAAACTCTTACTTTTTATATCAAAATTTTATAAAAGTTGAATTATTTTTTGCAGGCTTTGTAGCGGGTTTAATGTAGTTTCTGAATATGTAAATTTTATTTACTAAAAATAATCCGAGTTTTCACAGGGATCATTTAACTTTATCGTCAGTCAACCTTCGTAATCCGCAATTGGAACAACATTTAGGGACGGAGGGAGTAGGATAAGTGAGTTCAAAAAATCAATTGGTACACATTTTTCATACACACACCTACACACTCATGTTTGTGAAGAGTATTTTTTTGTCTGTATACAGACATAACGTATTTGAAAATGTGTAATGTCTGTATACAGACAAAAAAATACTCTTCACAAACATGAGTGTGTAGGTGTGTGTATGAAAATGTGTACCTCAAGCTGGATTGTTTTTGGATGACACTTGCACAAGCCCAACGCGCCATACAACCAAATCATTTTCGCCATCTTCCGTCAATTTTACTTTTCCATTTCATATAGTTGAAACATTCAAAGCATTAGGTTTATCTTATTCATTAATTTTTACATCTATTTTGTAGGTAATTACTCACCAAGTAGGGGTTTTACTCTCTAGAGGGTGAGTGGGTGACATATTCATTCTAGTTATTGATTTTATTTCTCTTTTCAAGTTCCAATCATGGATTTATTTCTCTCGATAGTCTTCTTTTTTTCATCTCATAATCATATATCAACACCAACAAGTGATCCTCCTCCAAAGTCCAAACCACCAACATCTTTGTGCTTATATGCGGATAAGATGGATATGTAGGTGACTTTCCCATTAAGATTCAGCATAAGGAATGTTTGGTGAGATGCTTTATTTATTTTATTAATTTAATTTACGTTTCAGAAACATGTGCATTGGCATCACTAATATATCATTATTGTTTGCATCTTGTGCCAGATTTTTACTACTGAGTATATTTTTTTCCATTAGTACATGGCAAATAATAAATTATTGGCCTTGAGATACAAGAACTGCCAATACTGGAAAAGCTGAGTAGATGCACAGCAGCAAAGGCTGAATATTTCATTGTTTGCATAAATCCAATTGAAGGTGGACTTTTTATATTTTATGTAATTCCCCCTTTCACATTGTGCATTGTGATTATTACCCTATATAATCTTCCAAAGATGTGTGATTTGAGTTTGTCCTTTCTAAAAACAATTCAGCCAAACATTTCAATTTTCAAAAACTTAGTTGCCTGTCAAATGGGTAAATAGAATAGAAACTCCATAGGGAGTAGCCATCGACAGTCATGCAGAGAGTTGTGCATCATTCATTAGCTCACAGTGAGAACAAGCTCAAGATCATTTGGCGTCTTCAAATCATCCAGAAATTGTTTAAGGTCTTCAAGTTTGGCATTACGCATACCTACAAGTAAATGGCACTTAAGTAATGGACTTTCTTAGACTAGACTGCTTATAGAATTGCTTATCAATGATTCGATGAAGAATGAAGATAACTTGCCACAATGGTTACCACAACCATGATAATTCAGTCGAAGCTTAACATCATCATCCAGCTTGCGAATTTTCTCTGCTCTCGTGTTCAATATCAATAGACATTAGAGTCACCCTTTTCTCCAAGGATGATCAGAAACCTGATGCAGTTGTTACCAGCTCTGAAAAACACGAATTTATGATATATAGTACAAATATTTACTTCCTAGTTGGGCTCGCAACCTGCTAGAGTTCATACAACAATGACTATTAAGAGCATTTAAAAACTGAATTAAAAATATGATTTATTCATTCGGCCAAAAATATGACTTCATTTAATCATAAAATATGATTTAAGCTCCAATATATTACTCATTCGATTAAGACGCTCATTCAAACAATTTATATTAAAGAAGCCTATGATTTAATATACTTCGTATGTAATATGTGTGGTAATAACTACTCATACACGTAAGAGCAACACACAAATAACCTTAAGTTAGTTATTTTACTATTCTCAGACTACTTATTCAGCACACTAAGTAAACAAGCCATTAGTCCATTCACATGACCACTTAACTCAGATAGTCCACGAATTGACAAAAAAAAAGAAGTAAACAGCTCCTAAGGAAATTTGACGAAGTTGAGGATGGATTGCAAAACATAATATGGAGAAAAGACAAACCAACTAAGATTTTCCTCAGTAACTTGTCCAAATTCAGAAAAGAGTTGTGTTTCAGTGCATCTGAAGACAGGATCATTAGAGAACTAAGAGATGTTTTTTTTATAGTAAAGTGCGTCAGTTAAATCTTTTAACCTCGGTCGTCAATACAGACCAAAACAAAACTGACTGACCAAGCCGACCAACCGAATAGAGAACTAAGAGATGTGTTTACCTGAAAACTTCTCATGGAAACCCAGTTCATTATACAACTGTATCACTTCATTAAGAGAAGCTACAGAGCTTTTACTCTTACTAGAATGTCTTTCCAGTGCCTGAAGTTCTCTATTGAGGTCAGCGGACTCTTCAACTACCTGATAAGATAAATAACATAACTAACATCATTATTGTCATTATCATTACCCCAGTGCCGCAAAGGCTCTCACCTTCGGTGGGGTAAGGAGGGGTCGGATGTACGCAGTCTTACCCTTGTACTAAAGCACAAAGAGACTGTTTCCAGATGACCCATAGTGAAAATCACGTCGAAAATTGCATGGACTGACTGCTGCTTCATAACAAATAACATAAATAACATATGCAACCAAATTTATTACCATGTATAAATAATACAATAAATCATAAAGTTACTTATACTCCTGACAAATCATATAGTCAAACACCTGAGCAAGTTTGCTTCTCAAGGAATCCAACTGTGCATTCAGTCTGCTTCCTGATCTGAGGAAGCATCAACAGATGGTTTATCCTATAGAACAGTATCCAAGGAGACTTTCAGCCATTAAGTATATGAACTACAAACACATCCATATAAACCACACAAATAAACCACATGATAGTAAATGTAGTAAGTCTATATCTGGTGAGAATATCAAATAAACCACAGGAAGGCATTTTCAATCATGGCAAACTTTCATTTTTGACAAAACATTAGACATGGCAATAGTAACGGAATAGATCAAGAATGTTCATAATCACAAATCAATTATTCATTCCACTATTTCTGATTCTTAATGACAATGTTTTAGCTAAATACCTCCTCCTCCTCCTCCCCCTCCCCCTCCCCCTCCCCCTCCCCCTCCCCCTCCCCCTCCCCCCTCCCCCTCCCCCCTCCCCCTCCCCCTCCCCCCCTCCTCCTCCTCCCCCCCTCCCCCTCCTAATTTGCTTGTCAAGCTTCATCTCAACAATGTTCCGTATATATTCTACACCCTACAAAATGGAACTATTGATGAGAGCACGGGCCTATTTAAAATAAATCCCAACAAGGATTTTTCTAAAGTTTACTACCGAAGGGGCAAGAGGGTAATTGACTAATTAATGAAGTGATGTCAGGATGAGCTGGAAAAGAGAATAAAAGGGAGTCCGGTACTGGAGAGAGGGGTATCTGGGAATTGGCTAGTTCGTTGGAGAGAGGGTCTCTCTCGAATGGTCTCCAGCTTGTTATTTTCTTTTGCGGCAAATTAGTGATATTTCCATTGTAATCTGTTTTCTTCTTCCTTTGGACTGATCGTTGAGTAATGTACTTAACAAAATTTCTCTGGAGTGTTGTGTCGCATCAACTATCAATTGTTCAAAGGAAGAAAAGAAACATTTCAGAAAGAAAAACCAGCAAAGAACGACCAGAATTCAGTATGTATAACAATACAAGCCACGAACTCTTAGATGTCTTAAAAATAGAATGAAATCTAATGTGTGCTAACTGTGAAATGAAAATAGATATGGCAAAGTAAGTGCAATAACACATCAAGCGAACCTTTTTAGAGGTTCAAATCGATCTGTATTCAACCAGGGACGGAGCCGGGTTATCATAATGATAATATGTGAACACACATTTTAATATATGTGAACATATATGGATTTTCATAATAATAATATGTGAACACACATTTTACATCTTAATTTATAAAAGTATGTTCTACACTTCAACCAGGGACGGAGCCGGGGGGTCAAGGTGGTCAGCCGACCCCCCTGAAAGTTTGAGGGTATAGAGTTGTGAAATATCTTTGGTTTGAAACATTATGGCTTCCGTAACTCATTACGAGTAAGAAGTTATGACTTCTGCAAAATCAGCACTATTTAAACTTAAAATTAGTAAAATTTGATGCGTAATATGATGAGAACTCAACAACACATTAGAAAATTAGAAATTTAGAATATTATTGATGATTTCAGAGCTTGAACTGGATTACAATGGCGTACATAGAAAGAGAGAACGGATACTATTGAGACACTTCGAGTAGTCTCCCACTCCCAAGCCTAATTCCAAATCCAATGTCTGCCTACTTTTTCTTTTACTCCCTCCCATTCTTATACTAAATCAAAATGGCCGGCCCAACTCATGACTTAAATGGCCCGGAACCCTTATTTTTACACTGTCACAATTATTTACTATAATTCTATCATAATATCGAATTATATTAATTATATTCCTAAAATAGCGTATAATTCTCTCGTTACTTACGTGACATGACTAAGAGACAAAGCAAAGACAATCTATCTTACTGCTACGAGTGCCTAGCTACTCAATAGCCAACTCTTTTCTAGTAAGAAATCTTGATATTAAACTGGGTAAGAGGAGAACTATAGAGTACTAGGGTAAGGCAAAGTGTCTCATCCAAGGCTGTCACAGGTGCGGAAACCCATCAACTAAACCTGTATAAAACAATTTATAATATACATGACATATATATCAACTATATAACTCTATTAGTTTCATTTAAAATACCATTTATCGAAGCTACATTCAATTTGAGTATTGTCTAAAAATAATTTACCGTTTTCGTTCTATGTAAAGTTGAATTTCGACCCCTCGAGTCGTTTTTCTAGCTCTGCCCCTGACTTCAACTCTTCAAGCATGTATTTACTTATCAATATTGAATATAGTATTAATACTTATATAAATGGCTCCATACAAAGTCAAGGTTCACATAAGGGACAGTACTGAAAATGCAGCATTAACCTTGAATAATCCGTCCCTTCGGGGACATCCGATAAAATTGGAACGATACAGAGAAGATTAGCATGGCCCCTGCGCAAGGATGACACGCACAAATCGAGAAAAAATCTTGAATAATCCATACGGGAACCTTTTGAAAAAAAGCAGTTGAATTTGTCAAAAATCTGGAAATGTTTTCATTACTTGAAGAGTAGTCCACGTGAGGGTTTTTAGGCATTTTTTATTAAACAGAAAAACGATGAAGACAGGTGACTTTACTTTTAACATTCTAAAGCTTAAACTGGATGAAGGCATCATTTCAAAGGAAAAAAGGAGAGGGACCTCCCATGTACTGTTAAGGTTAGTGTGTATGTACTCTCATGAATCCTTATTTGTTACTAATTTTTCTTACACTTTGAATAATATCTTAATTTCCATCATTTTCAATGGAGTCAAAGACTCACTACTTGTTGGCTTGGGAATATGATGGAATAGAGCAAAATGGCTCACTAAACTGTTTGCGCTTCTTTATTATGAAGTAACAAAGAAGTAACAGCTCACTAAAATTTTCGACGCAATTTTTACTATGGGTTATTCGGAAACAGTCTCTTTGTGCTTTAGTATAGGGGTAAGATTGCGTACATACGACGCCCCCTTACCCCATCGTAGGTGGGAGCCTTTGCGGCACTGGGTGATGATGATGATGATGATGAATTTGAATAATATCTTAGCATTCGATATCCTTGGGTGACAATCGAAATGAGGAGAAGGACATGACAGATTCTGAGCATAGTGACCTTAGTCAACAATATTCTTCTGGATGCAATTATGATCACATTTTAGGAGGGGGGAAAAGCTTCCAAAATGGATCGTGCCACACTAAAAGGAACAGCAAAGAACAAGGAAGCTATGCCAGTGAAAATAGAGAAAAGCTGAAAGAGTTATCTATGTAGTTCACTTAAGCTAATAATTTGTAAATATTTATCCACACAGAATTTCAGAAATTCAGAAAGTTATTTGAGGCTAATATTTTATAATTAAAAAATACAGTTATAATTTAAATTTTATTCATATTTGTCACATAAAATAGTTATGGCAAGAGTGCCTTGGGATTAAACACGAAAATTTCAGTAGACAATTATTCAATTGACAATAAGTATTTCAGAGATGTAATCATGTACAAAAACACTTATCTTCATACAAAATCGCGGTCCTAAACTCCTGATTCGAAAATGTGAATTAAAAACACTTAATTTCATACAATTTACAAGAGAAACACAAAATCAGAAAATTAAAAGAATGAACCTCAACAACACCCTTTAAGCTTGATCTGTTTACTGCCGATAAAATGGAACCACTTAGAAGAACAATCAATATAAGATTGAAAAACTAGGGAAATATGCAGTAATGAAACAACCAACCTCAAGGTGTGCCGGAGACTTCATCTGACCTAAGGACACAATAAAAACGTGTTGGATAGAGAACTACACTTTCTTGCTAAATTTTTAAACGCCCAATATACAAAAATTGTATAAAGAAGATGTATCCCTGGTCTTAGTCTTTAGAAAAACACTTACGAAAAGTACTTCCAAGAATTGCAGTGAAACAGTGTTTTTTATGGACAAATGTTTATTATAGAGGTTGAAAGATGATGGGTAAACTTCAGAATGTTCAGAAAGGAAATACATGGACCTTAAATGTATTTCGTGAAACACAAAATCCATCAACAGTGCTGTTTATTCACCTAATCAGCTAAAAGAAGTAAGAACAATTGTTTTATACATAAGTTACAGTATTAGTCTACTACACAACAACGCTTTAATTATGTAACTTGTTTTATCACAATAGCCCCTGTGATATTCTTCATTAAACAACTACCACTAACATATACTGATCCAAAGAAATGTTGTATGAGTTATTTTCCCATGGAAAGTAGACAAAAGGTTGATAAAAATCACTGGTATGTACAAACTGGCCGTCATAGAAGTTGTACAAGAATGATTGCAACGCAATATATCAATTTCAGAGAAGGCACCTGTCATGGGGATCACCAATAATCTCCACAAGAGCAGGTTCCATTTTTGAAGTGGTGGAACCGGTGCATATCGCGCACAACAATTTCTCTTTGAGTCACAAGAGAAATGAATTTCGTGGCAGTATGGCAATCACCACAAACCCGAAGGTTCTTCCTGATATTAATAGTTGTACCATGACTGGTATTTATAAGGGCGAATGCAATAGCCAGCTTCTCACTATGGGTACTGACCAGCTTTTCCTGAACATCATCTTCCACATCATGAAATGAATCTGTATTGGGTATATACCCCGCAGCTTTAATCCTCTCTATCAGAGTTTCAAGGTATGCATAGATTTGTTTTGATAGTGGGTGGGCAGTACTTCCAGAGTAAAAAGTGTGAACCTCATTTCTCAAGTCCACCAAACTACACCCAGGTGCTTTCCGAATCCCTTTCTTCTCCATCAAAATTCTTACTTGGGCCACTTTTTTCCATAATGAAGCCGAGGCGTATATATTAGCAAGCAGAACATAGTACCCACCATCATCTGGTTCTAACTCAAATAGTTTGTCTGCAACCTTCTCGCCCAACTCAACATTCTTGTGGATCTTGCAAGCACCCAACATTGCCCCAAAGACATTGACCTCGGGCTTGACTGGAATATTATTGATGAAATCCCAAGCCTCATCAAGTCGACCGGCACGACCAAGAAGGTCAACCATTGCACCGTAATGGTCCATTAAGGGTTTTATCCCGTATTCTTCCTTCATGATTTTAAAGTAGTGCTTCCCCTTCTCTACAAAACCTGAGTGGCTGCAAGCTGAGATGATACATAAGAATGTGATGTCATTCGGCTTTATGGATCGTTGGGGCATTTCCTCAAATAATTCAATAGCTTTCATTCCGAAACCGTGTGTTCCATATCCATCAATCATGGCATTCCATATTATTACCTCCCTATTATCATCCATCATGTCAAACAACTTTCTTGCAGTGGAAACGGCTCCACATTTTGCATACATGTCAACAAGGGCAGTTACAACAAACATGCTTTTGTCCAAACAAGTCCTTATAGCAAGTCCATGGATCCACTTGGCCTGGCGTAACACTGATAACTCAGCAAGAGCTGTGGCAACACTAACCAAAGTGAATGAGTCAGGTTTGATGTTCTGCAGTTGCATTTTGCAGAAGAGATGTATGGCTTCCAATACTTTTCCGCTTTGTGCAAAGCCCAAAATCATAGCATTCCAAGTTACAAGCGTCTTTCTGGTAGTAATCTCAAACAATCCATAAGCAATGTCGGCTCGTTTGCATTTACTATACATTGAGATTAAAGTATTAACAACGGAAGAGTCTGCCCAAAGTCCTAATTGATCAATCATTTCATGAATGTTTCGCCCAAACTCGATATTCCCAGATTCAGCACATGCGTGTAGAGCAGCCATGACAGTGACGTTGGTTGGCTTCAATCCTTCATTTAGCATATTTTGAAACAAAACAAGAGCTTCATTTGAATTCCCACTTTGTGCATACCCATCAATCATAGCATTCCATGAAACCACTGTCCTAAGACCCATCTTATCAAAGACCAACCTTGCAGCACTGACAGAGCCACATTTTGCATACATATCCACCAGAGCAGTTGAAACATTTGCAGAAGATACCAACCCGTTTCTTAGGACATAACAATGTACGGATTTCCCAATCCTCAAGGATCCAGTAGCCGCACAGGCGGGCAAAATTGAAACCACCGTGATCAAATCAGGCCTATGAGATGTTTCCCTGTGCATCCTCAAAAGCACTTCCAACGCTCTCTTAGGCATCCGATTCTGCGTAAACCCAGCAATAACTGTGTTCCAAGCCACCAAGTCCCTCTCAGACATTCTCTCAAACAGTCTGAGCGCATCTTCCAGCAGCCCACATTTCACATATAGATTCACAACGCCAGTCATAGCAAACAGATTGCTCGAAAAGCCATTCAGAATCAACTGCCCGTGTATCTGTTTACCCTTCCGAATATCAGAACTTTGTGCGCAGGCCTTGATCAAATACGCGTAGTCATGTACAACGGGATCGACATTGTCGGACCTCATACGAGAGTAGAAGGAGACGCAAGACTCCAAAGAGGAGTGACTGGTATAGGCTCTGAGCATAGTGTGGTACAGAGCATCCGGTTTGGAGCTACTGACGGATTCAAAGACTTTGACAGCGTCGTTGAAGCTGCCAAATTTAGAGAAAAGGCTGAGCAGCTTGGTTTGGAAGAGGTGGTCGTTGTAGAGGCCGTTCTTGATCGCGACAGGGAGCATTTGGCGGAGCTCTTTTGTGGAAATGCAGAGCTCCAAGAGGATTGTGGGTTGAGTGTAAGCATGGGCTGGGATGCGGCTCCTGGAGACAAGAGACGATGGCAATGGCGGCGGAGGCTGTGCAACGGAAGTGCTGCCGAGTACCTGGAAACTCATTTAGATTGTGAAGCAAAAGTCGAAGCGCACAGTCACCTTACTACGTAATGTTTGTGTATTTTTTTGCAAAAGAAGAATCCAGCTTCCATTAATTAAATCATTCTTCAGAAGAAATAAAAGGTGTGTAATCAAGAAACCAAGAACACGACGAACGTAAAATCTTTTTGGGGAAAATTTGGTGCGATCGTCTATCGTTTCTCTCTCGGCTGTCTTTTTCCGTCTTCAATTTTAATTGAAGGACGGCTGTTATTTCCGTCTTCGATTTTAATCGAAGGACGGCTGTTGTTGTTTGTGCTTCGTCCTCAAAGAACGGATTTGCTGTCATGGCTCCAGGTGATCGGCGTTGTGGTCAAGGTTCGAGGATGATGCGTTGTCGTCGTCGTCGGAGAAGATCGGCGCCGCCTATCCGTTTACTCCGGTTGCATAGGGCAGGGATGAGTTTGGTTATGCAGGGACAGAGGATTGATGCACGGCCTTTAGCAGCCAAAGGTCACAGAGTATCAATTAGCATGGTACCGGTGGTAAGACCTCCTCCTGAACCACCACCATGAGATGTACGAGGTGCTAGAGTTCGTGAACGCTTTTCTTGTTGTTTTTATCTGTTTGTTATTTGTTTTCTTGTGTCCACTTTTGTTGTTGATTTTGACAGTTCGTTTGAGTTTTTTGTCTCTCTTTATGTCATTGGGTATGGTTGGATCTATGGGAATATGTTTGGTTGTGTCAAGCCCACTACATGGTTAGCGATTCGTGTTGCTCTCTCAGGGGTGACCGTCTCAAAGTCTCACCATAGGGTTATAGTCGTAGTTGTTGAAGTTTCAGTTGGTGTCAGTTTTATTTTCCTTTTGCTTGATGTAATGATCCTGAATCTTTTGATATGAATAGAGGCCCGTTGATGATAAAAAAAAACAAAGAAACCAAGAACACGAATCAGACATAGAACAAGTAGCCCTAGCAATCGTATAAGCTGTTTTATTCGCTGATCGCTTAATATGAGAGAAAGAAATGCACGAAAAATTCTTCGCTATATCTCGTATATCATCAGCAACCAAACCAAAAGAAGAGCAGTTAAACCCCTTCATAATCTCCGCAATAGCTCGTGATGCATCAGACTCCACATCAACCGTCCTCCAACTCGTTCCTTGTAACCAATTCAAAGCTTCCCTAATGCCAATTAATTCTGCCTCCAAAGAAGAAAATTGCCCCGGCCATGGCTTTGCCGCCCCTGCCACAAAATTTCCAGCTTCGTCACGAAGGCACCATCCAAAACCACATTTATCAGTCCTCAACGCAGCATCAACATTCAGCTTAAGCCTCCCACCCGCGGGCTTTCTCCAGTGTGTAGCGTACTGTAGAGTAACTAATGTTTGTGTATACGCCTTACAAATATACACCTTCCAAATGTCTTAAACTATCAACAACAAAAGAATCAACCTTCTGGAAGTTTGGAAGTCATCGGAAAATATACATGCCTATTCGTATTTAGAAAAACTGATTCCCGGAGTAAATTTGGGCACCAGAAACACTTTTGTATAAGTAACAGTGAGCCCATACAAAAGTGGAAAACATATTTATAAAAAAAAAGGAGCAATGAATTGAACCCTCGTGAGAATTGTGAATAGATCTTTCGACTTTCACCCAAGCTCCTCTACTACACCTATTTGCTCAAACGCGCTATTTGTGATAATTATATTGACAAAAATTGTTTTTTCATGTATATAAATTTTATTTTGTATATATATACATATATATGAGGGTTGGGTGAGGGTTGAGAGGGGGCAGCTGCCCCAACTGCCTCTATAGTGAATACGCTCCTGAATACAGTCTTCACCAAATTAAAATAATCTTATACTTCATACATCAAGTTATTTTTCCTTCCATCGAACTCCCATTTTATGTCCTATATCTTGGTTTCACACAATAATTAATAAAAGGGAAAAGTACGGATTAGATACCTGTGGTTGCGGGCGTTTTCAATTAGGGGTCTGTGATAAAGTTTGTAACAAACACACCTTCGTGTTTTGCTACCGTTACCACCCGCGGGGTCCCCGTCTTGACTCCGTTTATTTAATGCTGAAGTGGAACATAATTTGCCACAAATCTGCTTACGTGGCTTGCAATCCCAATCTTGAAGCACCATGTCATTATTCCTGTTATTAAGTAATGCCAATCCCAATCTGAAACCCTACGACAACACTCTAAATACATCTCTCCTCCCACAGGCGCTTAGGGTGTGACGAAGAAGAAAGATGAGTTCTTCAAATTCAAGCTCATCTTCCATGGATGGAAGACAACAAGTGAAGAGGTGTGATTGTGGAGTCCAAGCACCGATTTGGACGACGACAACAGAGAAGAATAGAGGGAAAAGATTTCATGGTTGTGGGCGTTATTCAAGTGGCGGTGGTCAACAATGCAAATTTTTTGAGTGGGTTGAGGAGGACACATGTCGTACTTGTCAGGAGAACTTAGATTTGGTTCTTCAGAAGGTTGGAAGACTTGAAGAACATGTCCGGGTGAAAGTGATGGAGCTGGAGGGTGAAATGAAGACCTGCGTTCGTGGAATTGGTATTCTGAAGGTGCAGAACATGGAACTGCAATTGAAGATGGCTAACAATGATAATCTCACTTTTAAGTGGAAGCTTCTTTGTGTGGCCCTGTTATTTTTTATTTTCTTTGTAATTAGAAGGGTTTAGGTGTAAGTTGTTGTCAATGTGTTTGATGAAATGGCTGAACTAGATGTCATTGTGTTCACTTTCATTTGTAATGTGTTTCCTTTGTGTAATGTGTAATGAAATGTAACAATGCTTGATGCTTGATATATGAACTTTGTTTGAAGTTCTTTAATGTATGAAGTATGAAGTCTCTTATCCACATATACTGAAAAACAGAGCATAATACAACATGCCTAAAGCATTTGGTTTCACAAGGATTCATTCACAAATACAGCCCATTTGGTTTTACAAAAGAGACCTGTAAAACAGAACACTTCGTTTGATAACATCCATCCATTTAGAGCATATATATACCTATATATATAAAGGTTTGAACAATTACCTAACATTTGGTTTGACAGCATCCATTAACAACATTTATATACCCAAAACCATAACAATAAGTATCACACAATCGATATGTATACACCTAAAACCCAAAACCAGAACAATAGCTTGCACCATAGCACCATATGTATACCCAAATGAACCAAAATACTTACAAAGTTAAAATAAAATGGACAAAGTGATCCAATCTGTTTACTTATCCAAAAGAGAGAGAAATGGACAAAATAAAGATAGATTTCACCCAACACAAATTACATGCCAGTGGTTTAAGAACTTCATAAGAAGTACCATTGGACCCAAAAGAACTTAGCTGCCAATGTCATACAACAACTTCATAACAAAACACATGCCAAATATGTTTGTTACATAAGTTTCATTACAAAACACATGCTCATAAAAAGCATGATTGACGAGTACATAAAAGTGAACTGTAAACATAACACATCTTCTAAAGTACCAATCTTCATCTCCCTACACTACAACTGCATGATTACTTCTTTCCCCTCACTCCATCCTTAGTGCTCTGGATCTTGAAAGAAGTAATAAGATCACAGTAAGTGTAAAGAAAACACACTAAAGATTAGGTTACAGTAAAAATGAAGAACAAAATACTACCATTGAGGGTTGTGAACTTGAGGACCCAGTCACTCTTCTGGCTGATGGTTGAGGTGGTTGTGAACTGCTTATTCTTCTTTTCTTCTTTGTTCTTCCTTCATCCCTTTGGGAAACTGGATCATGGGCAATGGGAGTTGACATATGAAAAGTTTCATTATTCTCAGTCTGCTCTAGGTCATGAGAGGTTGGGTCAGCTGTGTCATCATCACCACCTAGGGTTGTTTTGGCAGATTTTTGTTTTCCTACCCTCTTTCTCCTTTGCCATGGTGTTTCTCCAGTTATGGAAGTCTTACACCCTCTAACATTGTGACCCACTTGCTTGCAATTGCCACATATGACCTGCTTACCTGCCCTAGACACCTTATAGGGATTCCTTGTTTCATCAGGTTGTTTAATCCTTTTTTTCTTGGGTCTTCCTGCAGGTTTTCTAGGAATTAGGGGCTCAATATCTGGAGTATCTGTTCTCTCCCACTCATCTTTACTTGGTAGAGGATGGATTATGTGTTTATACACTGCCAAATAGGTGGATTTAGCATAAAAAACACCCACATAGTCTTCAGGTTTCTCTCTATTGGCATATATAGCAGATACTCCATGCTTACAAGGGATCCCATTCAAATCCCACCTTCGACATGTACAAGTCTTGTCTCTAAGATTAACCACATGGCTAGTGTCATAGAAATCAACCTCAAACAAGTTATCCCCAGCAGGAGTAGAAAAGCAATTCCTACTTTCAAATTTGAATTTTTCTAGTAGATCCTGCTTATTAGGACAAATATTACCCTTATACTTACTCATGGCAGTGTACTTAACATGAAACCTAGCCATCAACCTTCTTCTAATCCACTCAAACATGCTCAAAATAGGCATATCTCTAGCTCTAAGTATGTATGCATTGAATGACTCACATATATTATTCTGCAAAGCATCAGACTGTGCTTGAATTGAAAAATGAGATCTGCTCCAAGTACTTGGGTCATACTACATAATCCAGTTGTAAGCAGCCTCATCAAACTTCTTTATTCCTTCCATTTGCCTCTCCCATGACCTCAGACTTCCAGTGCTAGCTGCAAACCAGAGCTTCTTTTTGTACTCAGCCCCTCTAAAGATTTCCTTGTAGTTCTCATACATGTGCTTCACACAGTATCTGTGTTCATTAGCAAGTGACACAGCCTTGAATGCCTCAACTAAACCCTGAAAGAAGGTAGCAATTAAACACAATATATAGAAAGAAGTTGTTCACATATTTTTAACAAGAAATAAGTACTTTTTTATTACCTTTTGTTTGTCAGACACTCAGACATGAAAACCCAGTTAGTTTCCTCTGGTATGCCAAAGTCTTGAAACAATACTTGCAAGAACCAAGTCCATGAAGCTTTATCTTCACTATCCACATATGCTATAGCAAGAGGAAACATGTTTTCATTTCCATCCCTAGCTACAGCACATAGTAGTTGCCCTCCCATAGGTGTTTTCAAATGGCAGCCATCTAACCCAATTAAGGGTCTAAGACCTGCAAAATACCCCTGCTTCTGTGCACTAAACCT